AAAAAAAAAAAAAAAAAAAAAAAAAAAAGCTGATGAGGTCACCTTGCGCAAATAGCACACCTTGAAACATGTCTCCTCTTTACCTTTCAAATGTACCTAGATTAAGCTAAAATAAACAAGCGCTTCTTGCTTCTGTAAAATTTTATTCCAATTTGATCCTGGAAATGTCATAGCCTGAAAATTAAAGCAACAGTTACTCTATCTCTCATACAGGCATGTACTAAAATTCTTATAAGTTACTAGTATTGACTAAAACAAATATGTCTCCTGAAAATTTAATAGATCAATGAGTATTTTAACCCTCTGTGCATTTCACATTATTTTTTCCCCTTATTGAGGTAAAGAGAGGCCCAGGGATCAATTGGATGCAATATTATGAAATTGTTAGGGTATAACAATTTTCTTTCCAACTGAAAATATCAAATGATGATCACTGAGAATAATTTCACGTGGATAAAACTTTTTTTCTTTTACATTGGTATCATGACAGAAGATCAAAACTAAGTTTACACAAACTTCCAAAATCAAAACAACACTATGACATTAAAGTGGCAGTCAATCACCTGTCTAGGATCAAATTGCTACTAGTACATGATATTCTGCTTTCATTATTTAATACCTCCAATTTCTGGCATTTGATATTTCTGAACCCAACTCTACTTAATATCCTCCTGACATACGAGAGAAACAGGATATTAACAATTGAGGTTATCTGAAGAAATTTCAAATGCCCCATAATATTGCAAGCAATTTCTGTTCACTGGTGGTTATCAATTTTTCCTACTGTACAAACAAGACTTCTTGACTGCTTATGCAATTTCACATAAAACAGGTTGATATGCCACTCAAACAAATAAAATATATACTCAATTACAGCATAATGTATTTTATACAAAAGAACAATAAAAATAACTTTTTTTAATGTAATGTAGTCACCACATGTGAAATGAACATAAATTTAAAAGTGAATAATTTTTTGCACAGCAAAAAATCATTTTGGAGCACTAAAACTGTATGCCTTATTGACTTGAACATTTCCGTAAGGGCTAACCCTAAGTATATGGTATAATTGTTTATAAAAATTATTGCATCAAAACCATAGTGCCCTCTCTGGTAGTTAAAATCTGATAGAGTGTAATCAGTCACAAATAAAAGGACTTAGGCTGAAGGAAAGAAGTAGAGTTACCATGGAGGCGCAGAATTTTAATCTAGTACACAAGTGTGACCTTCACTAGACATTTTACAGCCTTCAGGTTAATTTTTTTCTTTTTTTTTTTTTTTTTTTTTTTTTGATGGATGAGGGAAATTTGTTCATGATCAAAAAAAAAAATTTTTATATGATAACCTTAAGCATTCTGAATTTTCAATAAAGATTGGAATTCATTTAATATCCCACGGAAATTTGGTTCACATCAGTTTCAATAATATCATCCCTGGATTTAATAAGTTGACAGGCCTATTTTGACATATGCGGGAAACTACCAACTAATTTTGACCATTTAAACTCTTTTTCACAGTGTATATAAAAGATCAATTTTACAATTAGGGATGTAAGAGGCTAAATATTCAGACAAAGTCCATTCAAAAGCACTCTTTTTTACATTTTCTGTTATGCACTAGTTAATAAATGCACTTGACAGATAGTCAATGCACACAACCATGAAATGATCATCAGCAAACAACACAACTGTATCCATGGGTGAGTGAATTCACCAGGGGCGGATTTAGACCTTCTTCTGGGTCTTCCAGAAGACTGTCAGATTTTCAAGTTTACATTGACGGGTACCTGTATCTAAAGTTTTCTGTCGGAAGACAGTCAAAATAGAGGATGGATCAACAAAGATAATTTGGAAGACTGTCAGAAAATATCCTGGATCCGCCCCTGTTCACAGCGGCAAAACAGATGAATCTTACCTTATTTACAGCGCTGTCAACTGCAAAACTGATTGGCTTTTCAGCAGTGCAAGACTTGGAGAGGAAGTGAGAGAAGAGGAAATTTAGATATGAGACACCCGACGCTGCAGAATCACTAAGCCAAGATTGCTTCTGACATCTGATATTTCATAACACAAGAGAACTCATCTTGGTACAGAGAGAGGATATTAACCATCGTTTTTTATATCCAATTGTTGTATACAGAGAGGGGATATTAAGACCAGATGTTTGTAAGAATAAATCTTTTTAAAAATTAAGTCATTTTTATAACTGAATCTGTCTTTGACATGTGTATGATTTCATAGTCGCATCACCTGTGCATGGCATACGCACAATCAAACCGTAAAGCCAAATATCACCAAATATCACCCCTGATGTTTATCTTGGTCCTCTCAACAATCCAATTCAGGAAATGACGTAACCGCAGAGGTCGCATTGTCCAATGGCATGGCTTCTTTTTCGTAATGGTAGGTTAGAGTGGACCAACTTAAACATCAGAGGTGGAATTTTGATTTACGGTTTGATTGTGCACGGAATTTACAAACGAGCGACGGGATGATGTAGCCTGCAGTATTAGCGGTAAGCGTGCCAAGTTTTAGGCCGCTCCGATGCCCGGCAGTATTTTATTTCGATTATTATGTTTAAGTTGGCCGAGTTTTGTTTCAGAAGCTCATTCTATTTTATTGTCTCTATGGAGGTATATGGGGACTTTACGACATTCGGTTTGAAGGCTTTAACCACTTGTTATAGTTTATGTTTGCATTGTATTGGATTAATGTGGCAGTCTGAGGTTGTCCTAGGTGGTTTTCAAGTTTATGCACCGGGTTTTAATATCTTTTAGCGATTTTACGACAACCGTTTACTATCCAATCAAGGTGACAGCCGAGCGTGACTACGGTAAACAACATGCAATGGCATTAATATTTTCCCTTTTTGCTCTTAAATCGTTTAAGATTTCAGTTATGAGAACACAGTATCTAACCTGGTTGCCATTTTTTATGTTTCAAGGAAAAGCAACTAGTAATTGATAATCATTGCAATTATTTGGTTCATGCAAGCCGGTGTGGCGTGATAGAACCGTGCCGTGACGAAACCGTTCTGCACATGCGCATTGAGGGTGTATTGAAAGAAGTAACTTCCGGTATGACGATGTCGTCCTAAGTAGGCGCTATGTTTGCACTGAACTATGATTTTCCAATTCGTAATTCAGTGGTTTTCGTCATGAGATAGTATGTATTTGATAATCTTATTACTACAGTATACGGGGGAATGTTGGAAGTGAGCTTTTGATCGTGACTGAACTGTTTTGCTCTGTGTGAAAAACGTGGCAGATCTAAGACTCGTAGTATAAATCTTTTCACTCTACAATGTTCTTTCAACTCAGAGTTTAGTCATTTTCACTATAAAGAAATTGTGTGTTTGATAATACTACAACTTTCTCTACGGGGAAATGTTGGAAATGCATGTGCAGCTACGTACTGTAAGTCAACAGACTGCTACCCCCGCGTGCATAATCCGTCAGAACGGTTTATTCACGACGACGGTTTCTTCACGTGACACCGGTGTAAAAGGAATGGAAGTCCGCTAGGAACCGTAAACCGCTCCCCACTACTTTGTACAGGTGACATTCGTCCCATATAGTAATCCCAATACTCCAGCTAACCCTAACCTGTACTAATCACAGGGGAGCCCGGACATCCATTACTAGGACTTCCATTCCAAACCGTCCTAATAATTATTTGTCCCCAGATACCGCGTTAATGTTGTCTTACCTCATAATAATCATCTTGCCGATGAAGTTAATTACACAGGCAACATGCCCTAGTTGCCCTGAAGCTACTGTCTACACCATCTTGGTTGCTCGTGCTCAATTAGGTGACTAGAAGCATTATAAATATATATCTTTCAACCGGTTTAGTCCTGTTTCTGCTCATAAAGCAGTAAAATAAATAGGTCAAGGTGAAATTAAGGTCATTGTGCTGGTTAAGATTGTGGTAGTTGAGCCCAACCAATCAAATGGGATTACCCCGTCACGCCGTCATGACAACAAACTAAGTTTCAAGATGGATGCCACAAAACGGCCTTTGCTTATTCCTCCAGAATTTGCAACTTACGCAGAGAAACATGGCATATTTGAAATGTATACGGTAGGTTTTTAGCTGAATCATCGCCTATTCACACAAGCGGGGGCCTTACAAATATACATTGCTCATAGTGTAGCTATTTTATCAAGCGTGAATGTCTGACGCATATTTCATATGATACTACTAGTAGTATGATACTGTACCTTTAACTTGATCGACTTGAACTTGAAGATTATACCATTTTCTTTTCAGAAACTTTTAGAGCAGCTTTTGATAAACAAACCAGATGACCCTCTGACATTTTTGATAGAGCTTCTGAAAAGAGACAGTGATGATGGTAAGTGTGTAGTAGTATTTAGCTTGCTTGTCACAAATTTCTACCTTACTGGTTTCATGCTCGGTACTAACATCTACCACAAGAACAGTCTCATAACACCTTGTGTTACATGCTCTTGAGGCTGTGAATATCCACATTATGGAGAAACTGAGTTTTTTGTTGCACCTGTTGGAGAGGGCTCAAATGTCTTTTTTTTTTTTTTCTTACTCTCACCTAGAGCCGCACGATACTGTAAAGGCTAAAGCCACCCAATTTTGCAATGAATTTTCATGCTATGCTAAAAATGATGTACATTGTTTACAAACAAAACTTCAAACAAATCTTTCCACATCCTATTTCAAGAAAAAAATATTATTATTATTATATTAATTTTAATCAATTATTAAAATAATTCAATATGTCTTAGCCATAAAATATACCACCTTCTGTTCAAGCATGCTTAGCATACCATTTGAAAAAGATTAAAAATACAAAATTGATGTATAATACATTACAGACACCTATATACCAGTAAACCATGTATACTTTTTGAAATCAAAATATTTGGATGGTGGAAAGAACATTATACAGGAATTTCAACAATTTTCAATATGAATTTACAATTTGATGAATAAAATGATTAAATTTTTCCAGATTTCAACAATGATTTCAGAAAAAAAGTATGAAATTCAAATATATATCATGTATATCTGTAATTTCATTGATCAGCTCCTCAAGTGGTTATCATGGGGCCACCAGCTGCCGGCAAGAGGACCATTGCAAAAATGGTGTGTAACAGGATTCGTGCTGCATACCTGACAATGGATAATCTTATACAAGAAGCAGAGATTGAGATCCGGAAAAAGGCGCAAGAGTATATTAAGAAAAATGAGGTAAGTTTTCAATAAGGATAAAAAATGTTAATTCTCTCATATTCCTCTTAATATGTATTGAGTTGACCAAAATTCAAAATTAAAAAAAAAAAGAAAATGCAAAAAACCTTGAGTATTTTAATGTACATGTAATGGAATAGTGAAGTTTATTTATAGCAGGGTTTAAAGGCAAAAGTACAAATCATAAGGTATAAAATAAACATGACCTGTGGCTGTTATTTACAAAATTAGTTATCATAGTGATACTGGTGAAGAAGGTGTGTACTACTTTGAAAATAAACATAATGGTACAATTATTTGACATTTCAGAGTAATCTAAATGAAAAATAACTGTTTTCACTTTCATTTGAATGAAGTCAACCTGTAGTTAACTCCCTTACCTTGTTTTTACAGACAATACCAACAGAGCTGTGGCTGAAGATCATCAAAGAGAGGATGAAGTCATATGACTGTATTAAAAGAGGTTGGGTGTTGGAAGGGTTCCCACAGACACGAGAGCAAGCCCTGGCACTACAGGCAGAGGGCATATATCCAAAGCATTTTGGTATGCTCACTTGGGATCATTTATTTCTCTAAAAACAAAGCAGAGTGTTAGTCTGTAAATTAATCAGAATCTGAATACTATAAGAGGAAAATTTATTTATTTATTTATTTATTTATTTATTTATTTATTTTCAAACTTTTTTCTTTTAGTTTACACAGAGAAAAAAATTACACTATACCATAGATACACAAAAAAGTACTAAAATCGACTGATTCAGAAACAGAATGAAAGAATGATTTTCAGAAAAGTGCAATGAAGGTCATTGTTTCAGGTTTTTTGTTACCTAGACATTTTAGAAATATTATCAGTGTCCTTGTCTAATGTGTTCTATGTTATTTCAGTTCTTTTGGATGCTCCAGACACTGTGTTGATAGAGAGGGCTGCAGGAAAGAGAGTAGATCCAGAAACAGGGGGTAAGATGCCTCCTTACTTTTTTCTTATATATTTGATATCATTAGTTACATCAGGGGCAAGGTGTGGCATACATGATCTATTGTGATGTCACAGAAGAAACATAGTGATGTCACAAAAGAGACAGAGATGTCACAGTAGAGACATAGGGTGTATTCCCAGAGATTTAGATCAATCCAGGGATTAAGATTTAGATCGACCTAAATCCCTGGGGCTTCACGCTAAATTGCAGTCAGCCGAGCGCGCACCATAGTTAATTACCCCCTTACAGCTTTCAGTAGGCGGGACAGACACTTAAGCTGGCTAAGCTGACAGTAATCAAGTGAGACTCCCCACAGGGATAGATCGATCTAAAATCTATGAAAATGCTGTCATAGTGATATGTCACATTTGAAGCAGCATGATGAGATATATGTTACAGCAGTGAATACAATGTTACATGATAAAAGACAGTGTGGCTTGTAGCAGAAACAGTATGATAAAATAGCTTTAAACCACTCTCACTCTTTAACATGATATCAGTGATCATAGGGGTATTAATGTCCATGTATGTTATTCCAGATGTTTACCACACCACCTTTGACTGGCCTAGCAATGCTGAGGTGGCGGGTCGCCTGGAGCCTGTACCTGGTAACAGTGAGGACGAACTGGTCAATAAACTGGTCGTGTATCACAGGCATATCGAGGGTCTCAAGACGTGTTACAGCAAGATCCTCAAGATTATCAATGCTGACCAGCCTAAAGGGGATGTCTTTGCACAAAGTAAGAAAGCAAGAGTTGAAAATTTGAGAGGATTGTTTATATTTATTTATTTATTTATTTATTTATTTATTTATTTATAGTAGGTATACTAGGTATGAATAGTTGGTGAAGATAGTTAAAGCTCTATTAGATTGTAATGTATGTATGGCTTTGAATATTTTCATTTGAATTGGTTTTGCTGCTATGGAATTAATTTGTAATGCATTCTATCATACCACTGTATAAGCAAATCCTTCATTCAGCAGAAGCTTTTGGGTACAGTAGAAACTCATTATGCCTTAGGTGATATATTGTCCTGCATGCATATATGACTGTAATTTCAATTATTGTTTTACAGCAATCACATTCCTGGGCAGCAGGTTACGGAATGCTGCCCCTCACAACCCCAGGGTTGTGTTACTGGGGCCAACTGGCAGTGGCAAGGGTGTCCAAGCTGCTCTGCTGGCTAATAAATATAACATTGTAAATAGTAAGTACTTGGTATCTGTCTTTTTAAGGGTAATTGCTTGCAATTGTCATAGCCACTCTATTGGCTGATAAATATAACAGTGTAATCTTATTTATGTAATATTTATTTGTGTTCCTTTGTTTCCAATAAACTATTCAATAGTATGGCTCTTTTTGGTCAATAAGTAGTCACCTTTTTTTCTTTTCTTCTTTTTCTGTTTTTCAAATTTTATTTATTTATTTATTTTTTGCATCCCTAATTTTTAGACATTGAGATCCTTATTTTGGGGGGATAAATCTTACTTCAAATATTCAGTAGGGCATATGTGATTTCCTCAAACTTTTTTGTTTCAGTTTCCTGTGGTCAGTTGATAAAGCAAGCCATTGTTGATGAGACAAAAGCTGGACTGGCAGCAAAACCCTATCTGGAAAAAAACATGTTGGGTAGGCCCTTTTTTCCCCTTTTTTTCCCAGTTACATGTATTACTCTGATTTTCTTTAATGAGGTCCATATGAAAAAAAAATGCAATTGTTTATGTAAGATATAAAAGAGTCTCCACAAAATAAAATTTCATGTTTTTTAATGCCATTTGCTTGAGGTCTTTTACTTGGTACAAGAAGTATTATTTAAACCCACTCATTGTTATTATTAGTAGTATTTTTATTATTATTATTATTAAATCACTAGTCCTTTGCATATTTACACATTGCTCAGACTATGTGATATCAAACACTTCCTTAACGTAGTAATGGTTGCTCACTGAGAACTGAACTGAATTCATTTCCAGTGCCTGATGCCATCCTATTGAACATCCTAAAACAGAGGCTGGGTCAGCTGGATTGTGTTAGTAGAGGCTGGGTGATGCATGGCTACCCTAAGACCACAGAGCAGGGAGAACAACTGGTACATGCAGGCTTCACCCCTAACAGGTAGGCCTAGTAACTGGACTGGCACGTGAAGTGCATAGGCAGTGTGAGGGAGAATAAAATGAGTTACTTTGGTTATAGAAAATTGAGGCAATTGTGGTCATTGTTTTCTGTCACTGCAGAGACAGTGTAAAGACATTGTGATGTCATAGTACAGGCAGAGGTTAATGTAGTGTCACTGCAGAGACAGTGTAAAGACATTGTGATGTCATAGTACAGGCAGAGGTTAATGTAGTGTCACTGCAGAGACAGTGTAAAGACATTGTGATGTCATAGTTCAGTACAGAGACACTACATCATAATTTTCTGTGTTTTTTGTGGTGAAACAGAATTGCAATGTTACAGAAGATGCTGTGTTATTATTTGTTTTATTAAGTCATATAATAGCCATCTTAATTAACGGTGGATTTTCTATATCATGTCATTGTTTTTGGATAGTTTTATATTTGTATATAATGTATATATCACCTTTTCTATTTTCTTTCATTAATAGGGTGTTCTTCCTGGATGTTCCTAATGATTCTGTAATTGAGCGCCTGACTCTGCGCGCCACTGACCCCATCACAGGAGAGCGTTACCACATGCTGTACAATCCTCCGCGCACACAGGAGGTGAAAGAGAGGCTGCGCAGGGCCCCCAAGGACTCTCCCGAGGAGGTCCAGAAGAGGCTAGGGGCTTATCAGGCCTTTGTGGACGAACTGACGGATTACTATGTGGATGCCCAGCACGTGAACGCAGACCAGGACCCCCACACTGTGTTTGAGTGTCTGGAGAGCATGATGGTGAACCCTATACCACAGAGGTTTGATGACTGAGAACACCATACATTATAAACTGTGCATGAAATACATAGATTACAGATAATAGGGTCACATTGAGCTGTCCATGTTCTGTGAATATTTTTAAATTAGCTTCCCGTGGTGAAAACCACCACTATGACTATGATCTTGTCATGAGGAAAATTTGATTTTTTTTTTTTCATTTCTTTTTATGACATAAAAACCTATTTATTATTATTTTTATACCATTTGATGGGAATGCTATCTACAACTATTTTTCATACTGTGCTAAAACTTATTATTTTTTTTTTGTCTTCTTGAAATACTAAAATGAAAAATTTCTTATTGTACATACATTTTCCAGTCTAAATGTGGGGAATAAATGTGAAGGCTTTCAAGAGTCCTAAATCCGTGTTTTAAATGTTTGAAATGAGGTATTGCATTTGTAATTGTATGTTTTTGTTGATACAGCCACACTTATGGTTTTGTAAATAAAGATCTACACAATATGCAAGTAATAACTTGTGGAATATTTTTGTTGTTGCAGGCTTGTACCCAGCAATATCAGAGGGGGGAGGGGATATCGTTTCTAAAAAAAAAAAGTCCTAGCTTTTTAACCCCTTAGTTGGCCTACAAGTACCTTGAGAAATGGCATTTTAGTTGAAGTTTCCTGCATTATTAATTTAAGGACAATCAATTAAAGTATAGGGGATATAAAGGGGAAAAATAAACAATGAATTCTGATGAAAAATTTGGACACATTTTGCAATAGTGGCACAAACTGTACATCTATAAAAACAAATTTATTGTCAGTTTTACAGAACATGAATGCATTTATGCCACATAGGATAACAAAATTGTGAAAAGCATTTCTTTTATTTGACAACCAACATGAAAGCTACTAGGTATAATTTTATAACACTTTTTACACATACATATACATACAATAATTTATTTTACACATGCTTTACAAGTTAATTTATTCCTGTCAGTGTTAACTGAAGTATTTGAACTGGCCATCCCAATATTGCAAGTGAAGTTATCTACTTAATACAAGACACTAGCAGTAGTACATGTTCTGTATAATAGTAATAGGGTTCAGAGTTTGCAAGCTGTACTGCAGTATGTGATATGTGGGAGAAAAGCAAGAGTGGATATCACATACATGTACACTTTATAAAAAAAAACAAGTGTTGTATCTCAGTTTTACCATGCCTTATAATCTTCTTTTTTCATGCCTGATACTGGCCTATGAACAGGTTTAACAAGATACACCACACCTGATCGTTTTTCAAGACATCCACTGTGGTACGTGTAAATTTTTGCATCAGAACTCTGGTATGGAAGGGCGTGTAAAAGTAGCTGAAATCATGACCATCAATAATAACAATAATTCTTCACATGAACACAAACTTATGACTAGCACAAGGCTGGAATTACCTCACTGTCCATGGCCATCTACTTAAAAAGACGCCCAGGGGATAGGAGGTCAGAGGAACATTAAGCCTTTCCATTTGTATCCAACTCCACAATGTCTGAATCCTGGAGTCCCATGTTACTTAGATTTTTATATTATCATCTCAGCAATATTTGAGGTACAGTACATGTGCAATATCGTGCTTGTTCAAAAGCATTATGTGACAAAATTTAGAAGTCAAATTTTATAGGACAAGCCTGTAAACCTAATTTTTTTCTTTTTGTAGAATTGGTCGCCAATTCAAACAATCTTGGAACAAGTCCACAAAAATATTAATTATTCCCCACCATTTTCAAGGTGTCCAGTATTTACTTGTTCTTTAATAACTCACCACATGCCACAGTAAAGTTCCCACTGTTTTTAAACAAAGTAGTAAACACTTCATGACAAGACTACATTAGAAATGTCGTAGCAATTCAAGGCAAATACCAGTATTTGTATAAAACATGAAGCAGTTTTACACTATTCAGTGAGTAAAATCTCCAATGCAACTCTATAAGAACACTTCTGGTTAGCAGCAGATATGTCCATTTATATTTTAGTAGTCTTGAATGTAATATCCATTTCCTGACATTATATTCAACACATCTAGATTGCAATCCAACAGTTCCGCACGTCTTTTATGATTGTGATAATTGCCACTGTCCAGTTCTGAATTAATACAAGTTTTTTTAATATCTAAGTTTTCAGTATTCATCACAGTCTTACACTTGTTCCATTGGGTCTCCGTACAATTCCTCATGACTGTCAAGTTCTCCATGAAGTCCTCATAACTATAAAGTTTTCCATGAGTCTTCATGACTATCAATCAAGTTCTCCATATGACTATAAAATTCTCCACACAAATTCTCATGACTATCAAGCTCTCTCCACAAGTCTTCATGACTATCAAGGAAGTTTTCCATCTGAGTCCTTATGACTATCAAGTTCTCTCCACAAGTCTTCATGACTATCAAGGAAGTTTTCCAACTGAGTCCTCATGACTATTAAGTTCTCTCCACAAGTCTTCATGACTATCAGTGAAGTTTTCCCTCCGAGTCCTCATGACTATCAAGTTCTCCATACAAGATCAAATGACTATCGTGCAAGTTTTCACAACTTTATCATTCAGGTTCTCCATACGAGTCCTCAAGCATGACTATCAAGTTATCCATAAGAGTCCTCATGACTATCAACTTCTTCATAAGAGTCCTCATGATTATCAAGTTCTCTGTACAACTCATGACTTGTTATAGTCTCTCAATTAAATTCTCCATACGAGTCCTCATGGCTGCCAACTTCCCCACAAGACTCCTAATGACTATCAAGATCTTCATATAAGTCGTCATGACTATCAAGTTCTCACCTTGTTATCATGCTGGCCAGTCTTCATCAAGAGGCAGTCATGCAGACTGGAAACTGCCTTGACCAATGTCCAGTTGTCAGGCACCTGGCACTGGTCCTTCCTCTCAGGACACGGCCATGCTTACACCAGAAGATCACTGTGGTGCCAGTAGGCACATATCTTTTATATAGGTGTCTATAGCTAGAGCCTTTTATCTTCAGATGTTTGGATAGCTTGGGGATCTTGCAAACTGAAATGATAGAATGTGTATGAATGTAACTGAATGAAAAGTTTGATGTTTGATGTGCATGATGTTTTATTTATGGGGCCTGAAAAAAAGTGTCTGACAAATGTTGTGTAAAGGTTTCAGATTATAACTGCCAGTATATCCATGTTGCAGATATTCTAATTAATATACTACATGTAAATATCACAGATGTAAAGATATTTCAGTAAGAAAATAAGTTTACAAATAACATACACAATCTTCGTCTTTTTTCTTCAATTAAATCTGTTTGACCAGTGTCTAGGTTACTGGATGTGACTGAAAAAAAAACAAGAGTAAAAAATTTTAAATATCATATGATAACTATCTTGTTACATTTGAACTGATTAAAATTTATTATGTTCCCTTCTAATATTACAAGTGAAATCTTCACATAATGAAACGTATTTCTCAGGAAAAGTGTATTAAGAAGACACAATACAGATCCATATTCATGTAGTTATAAGTTTCTGGTGATGCCTTAATTAGGGCAGTTGTACTAAAAATACAAAAAATAAAAACCTTAATTCAAAAATGTTACAAACTGAAAATGATAGAATGTGAATCAAATGAAAAGATTTTTGACAGGTGCCGGTCTCTGGCAGTTTAAACACATTGACTTCAGACAATTTAAATTTTTTCAGACTGCCAAAACTAGGAAAGGTATAGTCATGACATTTTCAGCATTTATTAAAAACATTTTCCTAAAATATGCCAGATTTCATTGCATACATCTCTGAAGTTATTGAACTTCAAAATAAAAGTAACATTTTTGAATCACCCTTTATCTATATATATTTAATCACTGCACTGTATCTGGCTTAAAAACACTTACCTATTACAGTAACTGCCATGTGGTCCATCTGACTTGTGGAGGATTGATGGACACAGCTGTAGATTCCAGAGTTATTTTTCTGGACATGTTTCAGAGTCAATCTGAGCAGAGTGTATCCAGGTGATTTCACTCTGGGTTTTAAGCCATCCTCTGATATTGAGTTAGATAGTTTTACTTTTGTTATATCAGTAGCACCTTTGATATTGAGTGACTCAGATAAGTTTGCTGATGTATAAACTCCACCAGGGGTTTGCCAGTATAATTCTGCTTCTGTATTTATTTTATTTTGTTTATAGATAGTGCAGTCCAATTGTATACTGGAGTTTTCTTCTAAATAGATTGAACCATTTTTCATAATTCTCATTTTTCCTTGAAGCAAGTGTAAAGATATGTTCTTTGGTATGTCACTTCTCTTTTCTAAAAGATAACTGGATATAGTGTTACTATTAAAGTTATTCCTGTCTTCTTTTTTCCATGACAAATTACTGGGTATTTTGTCTTCTGTAATCCAAGGAACTAAATTGAACCCTGAAATGAGAGTAATCACCACAGCTGTATATTTAATGCAATGTTGTTCAGAGGCAAAAGATCAATTTCTTGAAATTCAATGTCAATTTTTTGGATACCATTTAAAGTGTCTATTTTGCAGGCATTGTTCTGTGAGAGCAAGATTGTTACATAAAAAATAATTATGAGAATTCTTTTAACAATTACATGTACACAATTTTCATTCACAAATCACTTTTGCTTAGAACTTAACTAAAAACATTTTGACAAATCCACCTTTGGTATCTTCTGATTCAGCAAATCTTCTGAAACGTCTGTAGTATTTCCTCCATATGGTAGCAGGTGGTAACCATGGAAACTGAGGTAAGTTGGGGTGCTGGTCCATGACACACCTTGGTTTGATATCAGGGCTCCACATGCCTCCTATACAGGTGGCGCGGGTAGGACCCTGGAACAGTTAGGAATTTCAAAACTGATCTATTATTTCTGGGAAGAAGCCACTGCACATTTTATATTATTGAGTTCCTTCCAAACTAATTACAACAGTCCAACTTAGATTCCATTGTAATCATACTTAGTCTATTTTCTTCATAACAAATTGAATCCTTTAAAAACAGAATGAAAATGCAAAGCGGATGTCAATTCGATTGTTCAAAATGTCTTTTGCATCTAAATAAGAAGAAAAAAAAAAACGCAATGGCCGGTAAAAAAATGAAAAAAAAATAATAATTGATTAAAATAACTCATTGCCAATCACATATAAACTGTAGTCTTGATTTTCTGAGCTAATATCAGCAAATGGAAGGAACAGAAAAACAGACCTTCAAGGGCCTGCCCCATCTTTATCTACGCTATGAAAAAATACAGAAAAAAGAAAAGACTCTTCCCCTCCCTACCTCCAGCATGGATCCCCTGTCACACTGGAACTCTATCTGCTGTCCCTGTCCTATCTGTGTCACATAGGGTCTGTAGTCATACTTGCCAATGTAGCCAACCAGGAGTATCCTGCCATACTGCAGGGAACCCGGGTGTGGGCAATACACTACTAGACAATACCAGAACATGGTGAGAATTTCAACATAACTTCAGCATGTGTATAATATGTGTATTGTATTCTTATTATGAAATATATCTTCTCATTAGAAAGAGCTTATTGTAGGTGTCAAAATTTAATTTATTTGATATGTTTATATGTAATTCAATATAAATGATATCATGACAACAACACTATAGCTTGTATACAGGTTATGGTGTGTGGGAAAAACATTTTTAATTTTAATTGAGGAATTTTATCATGGCACAAAGATTGTGCAGTGTACTCACTCTCCGCGCAGTAAGGTATTCTTCCTCTCCATCTGCCGTACAAACACGTCATAAACTCATCATTTACGATACGAAATCCCATGTTACAGGAGTAGCGAGCCAGCGAGCCGTGGTTCATGTCAATGTATCGCACAATTCCATTCTTGATGTCTCCTGGTCTTGTTGAGCAGTTCTCTGGAAAAGAAAGCACAATCTCAACAAACACAATTTATAGATCTCAACAAACACAATTTATAGGCTGGAAAAGAAAACACAACCTCAACAAGCACAATTCATTTCCCTAAAAAAAGAAAGCAATCTTATCTAGCACAATCCAGCAAGCATTTTCACAGTATTTCTGGACTCTCAGACATACGTTTGGGGAATCTGCACGACTCTTGGACACCAATGCCAGATGCAATATGCTAAATCAAAGTTTGAGATTACCCCATGTAGCATGAGATACTTCCATCAATAAGCGCAACTTACTAGGGATGCAGCTTGGCATATAGGACACCGTTCCATTATAACACACAGACTTGGTCTTGGTGTCATTCAGGGCATGTCCCTCATAACAAGCCAGTGTGAGCACTCTGCCGTGGTCTATCTTATCCCTGGGGCTGTAACCATGAACTGTGCCATTGTCCAGGGTTGGAACAGGGCAACGCCCTGGAAAAGATAACAAGAGAAATCACTTAGAAGGACAGTTCATGAAATACAGTGGTTTTAATTTGTCTTAAGCAGATTCTCTGTGTGCTTTTGTTCCACATTGCTTGGCCTCATGCAAATTGCTACCCTCAGTAAATAATTAAGCAGAAGCAAATTTTAAGGCAACAAACCCAGCGGGCAAATCAACATTGAATCAATGTTGAATCAACGTTGATGGTCAACGTTGAAACTATGTTGATATGACGTTGACTATGAAAGTTGACTCAACGTTGAACCATCAAGGTTGAATCAACCTTGAGGTATCAATGTTGAATCAACATTGACGGTCAACGTTGAAACTATGTTGATATAACGTTGACTATGAAAGTTGAATCAACGTTGAACCATCAAGGTTGAATCAACCTTGAGGTCTCAATGTTGAATCAACGTTGACGGTCAACGTTGAAACTATGTTGATATGACGTTGACTATGAAAGTTGAATCAACGTTGAACCATCAAGGTTGAATCAACCTTGAACCATCAAGGTTGAAACAACCTTGAGGTATCAATGCTGAATCAACACTGATACCTCAATGTTGAATCAATGTTGAAATTAAGTTGAATTTGAAAATTGAATTAACGTTGATATATCAATTAGGCTATCAGGATATTTGATTGAAATTTGCCTGATGGCTGAAGGTGTTCTCCAAGATATCAAGCATTTCTTGAAATAAAAAGACTCAGATCTGAAAAGAGGGGGGGAAATTAGGAAAATTACCTACAAAAAAAGGTAATTTCGGAAGAAAAGGGGGGGGGGGGGTCCAGACCCCGGGACCGGCCCCTGTATCCACCTATGGGTCGTCAGATTCTTTTGAAACTTTCCAGTTTGATGCTCAGTGTTACGGACCAAAACAGCCCAAACATAAAAAAACACAAACAACAACTAATTTAACTATGAATATAATATATTACAAACAATGAACATACACTACAAAAACTAACTACATGTAATACTATCATGTTGCATTAACTTTAACATTTGTCAAATACAGTTAAATTCTAACAGATTCGTAGACAGTTAAGTTTTGAAGACGCAATGTCAAAGTTTTACGAGTCCTTTTCTGTTAAACGTTCCTCCTGATAGTGTGTTGTTTTGAAGACGCAATGTCACCGTTTTCCATGTCCTTATCTGTTGAACGATCCTCCTGATAGTGTGGGGTTTTGAAGACGCAATGTCACCGTTTTCCATGTCCTTATCTGTTGAACGATCCTCCTGATAGTGTGGCCTCACAAAGTACTGTTAATAAAGTACAGTTTTTGTACTGTAAAAGTGTTACACACTGTCCACACTCACGTGTTGCATCAGTTCATGTTATCTGGAGTCTCGCACTTAATAACAGTCCCGCACTTCATTTACACTAAGAACTAATAAACGATGGTATATTAGATCTTAGATTTACATTATACAAGTATGCAGGCACATACGGTAATTACTCATAAAAATTAAACAACAAATTAGCTTTACTAAAATAATGAACATAATAACGTCACATCAGGTAGTTAAGATAATTTTAAGAAAACAAAAACAAAGGGTCACCAGTCTAATTTTTTCTCCCAGCTAACTTAAATTTCCAGAAAAACAGGCATTTTTGGCTTTTTCAAGCTTTTTCTTCAACCTTGAGTAAAATTTTGTCCATTTGCCATAAAGTAAGGCTGGTGACCCTATGTTTTTTCTTTTTCTTAAAGATAACCTGAACATCAAATCTGGAAAGTTTTAAAAAACTGACGACCGCTTTTTTCACAAAATTAATTTTAATGAAAAAGGGGTAAAACAAGGGGTAATTACCCCTATGCATACCTCTCTAGTGAGATAATCATTTAAAACTATAATCAAGGTTATGATTAAGGTTATAAGGTTAAGGTTGACCCAATGTTGAGATCCAGTTGATATGTCAACATTGACAAAGGGTTTACAAACACAGGTTGATTCAATGTTGAAATCCTGTTGATCTATCAACATTGAAAATTGATTGGCAAAGAAAGGTTAAATCAATGTTTAGACCGTGTTGATCTATCAACATTGACAATTGGTTGACAAGAAAAGGTTGATTCAATGTTGTGATCTTGTTGATCTATCAATATTGATGGATCAACATCATCTCAACCTATCCTCAATGTTGAATCAACGTTGAGTGCCCGCTGGGAATGTCTCACTGAATGTGTCTGAAATATATTATCTAATTTCCACCAATCAAGAAAATGTTCAAATGTTGGAATTTTTTTTTCAAAATTTTCAGTAAGTGGGGCATTATTATCAATCTCTAATGTTCCTTGTAGGTTTGGGAAGTAATATGTAAAATATGCACCTATAAACATATAAAAATAAAAGATGTATAAGACCATGGAGTCTGCTTTGGTCACTTACTCCAACATTTAGGGATGGGTTCTGACCAGTTCCCCGTGTCCAGACACTGGGCCGAGACTGCCCCCTGCAGAGTCATTCCCTGGTAGCATCTGGAAAGAATACAATCCAGGTGATACTTCTCACAGACAGCAAGAAAGATACATTATCATTTATCTCATCTCTGGTCTCACTTGTTATGATGGGTAGATAATACTAAAGCAGTATCTTAGTTCCAAATATGGGATTAATATTTTGTCTTTTATTCAGAATGGAAAGAAAGAAAATATTATACAGTTAACTTCTGTTCATGTTATTATCCATGTAAATAAAAATAAGGCACTGTTCTTGAATATGTTAATATACACGTGCTTCTTTTGTACCCTTCAAGCAAGGGCTAAATGCCAATTAGAATGAAGGGTTCAAAATAAGACTGACAACAGTAAAGTAGTAAACAGATCCAAAATGTATACTATTTTGTTTACATACAAAAATATACAAATAAAGCTGGGAGGATGAAAACATAATTACTTTCATTCCCAGCTTTATCTATCAACTTATTCAATTATTCAAATGAAATCGATGACACTGATGAATAAAAAAATCCTTATCTATCTCCACCTTACCTGAAGTAAATGGTATGCCCATATGTGGTATGTTGTCCATCTGGATATCCATTCCATAGATTCTGGGGCCAGCCACAGTCGATTTCTAAATTAAAAAACAACACATAAAAATAATTAATATTGTCATTTCATAAATTCTTAAAACATTAGGTCACATTCTCAATATTTCACTCTTTATACACAAAAATTGACTATTTGAGGTATGTGTTATATTGGTCATGTTGCTGTAAACACTGTGCCTGCTCTATAAATCTAGTCTACTCTATTAATCTAGACCAGGACTAAAAACAGGTAAGTTCCTGATATTTTCCTTAAATACATCATCAGGTGACTGAATGACTTGGGCATGTACTATGGTCATCTGATGGCAAGATATACTGAACAATATAATATGAAGTACTTCCATGGCCTGTCCCACAAAAAATGAATGAACTTGAATATCGGTCTTATTGAAAACTGCCAATATTGTAGGCCTACATAGAGCTTTATCAAAGTTAAGCAGTCTAAGTAAAAAACCAATAACATGTGGGGGGAAAAACCCTGAGGTCTGATCATGGAAGTATAACCAGATGTACTTCCATAGTCTTAATCACAAAAGGCATCATAATAAAGCAGGTAAATTAGTCACGTGGCACAACACATGTTCTCCCTAGTTTGTCCCTACCCTCACATTTCACATCAGTTCCCGTCCAGTGTGCATTTTCTTGGCATTTCCTCTCGCTGGGGCCCTGCAGTCTGTACCCTTCTAGACATGTAAACCTGACCACGGAGTTGAAGGCCACGGAGTAGCCATACATGTTCCCGTTCTCTGGGATGGACAGGGGTTGGCACTGGATAGCTGGAGGTAGAGGGAATACATGGTAAGTGACTATATCACATCGTATTATGTTTTCCCTTGTCTGACAGTTACTCAAACTTTAAAAAAAAAACTAAAAAATGTTGAGTTGTTTAAAACTGCCTATGATTCGGGTGAAGTGATTTTCAAGTAGACAAATGTTTGTATAACTTTCTCAAATTCAAAAGCATCAGAAGGTTCTTAATTCTTAAACTTTTTTGTCAATAATTAAAACAGACAGTCATATAACCTGTGCAGTTATCATTTCTTAAATTAAACATGACATGCATTTGGTAAAATATCTAAGAAGTACATACACTTGCATTTAGGCACAAATCTTGACCACTTTCCATTGGCCTGGCACATGCGGTACTGACTGCCTACCAGCTCATAGCCAGGGTCACAGGAGAAGGTCACTCTGTGGGGGTAGATGAAGATGTCCCCCTTCCTTTGTCCATTCTTCACATAGCCAGGGTCACCACAACTCTTAGCTGTTTAGTGACAAAAAACAAAAATACATACATATATAGAAGTATGAAATATAAATTCTAATAAAATAAAAAATGATCAGGCCAATATCATTAAGAAACAGTTAATTAACAGCAACCAGTACATGGTTGGGTCATTTGCTCTGTAGCACAAACATTCATCTCAGTCAAATTGTGTTAGTGCTGCCAATTGCTATTGTGCTTGGATGTGCCTCCAATGCAATCAATCTAATTGTTCTTTTGTAACTCCCCCCCCCCCCTCCTCCATGACCTAAGTTATTTGTGACTCTCTCAGCTAAGTATGTCCACTAAATTATTGTCATTCTGCCTCATATCTCAATATCTGGCATATAAGTTATAACATTTTACTTTTTCAAATCTAACCATAAAATTTTCATCCATGTGAGAGCTACGAAAACAGCAGATGTATCGGAGACTGGATACTGTTAAGTGCCACCATAAAAGTGCAATAATTTTCCACACCACATTCTCCTTATATCCATCATTCTCTCACACATTATATCTCCACTTGAGAAAATTGATTTCATAATTCAACAAGACTGTAGCTGTTACCAACAAATGGTTTCATACATGTATCCCATCTAGATCTCTCAGAAACACGCTGAAACTGTAAATCCAATAGCAAGTCAAAAGAAACACCTTTGAGGAGCTTAAAGAGAAGGTGTGAGACCTTTTACCAAGAAGCACCTGTATCAATATGATATCCTTTAAGTGTTACGACATATCAATTTTGAATAATTTGAGCATTTCCTACTTCATGGATGCATAAATAAACCTATTAGGAAAAAATACACCGTAATACTGCTCTTAATATAAAACAATTGAACCAATATGAAGTTTTTACTGTGGGATCAACTACTGATCACTAGGGAAATTCAGTGTAATGAATCAAAATATTTCAAAACTAAAGCATACAGATTAGGCTAAAAAAATACTTGGAGATTGAAAAGAAGTTAACTTCTAAAAGAATGCACTGTAATAATGGCTTTCCCTTGCTGCATGCAAACAGTGTGATTTTCATTACGAGGCACATTGTAGTTTACTTACCGCTGCCTTAAACAACAAGAAGGGCGTGTTTACACATGTGTTATTATGTGTTCCTTCCCTCTAGCAATCTCACTTAATGATATAACTGTTTAACTTGGGAACTCTCTTGACCCCATATGGACAGGCATGGAGCCTCTCCTACTAGCCTCATAGACCAGGCCTATTGCCAGCAACTTCAAAGGAGGGACTTTTTCGGAAATATTTAGGCCATCTTCTGGGTCTTCCGGAAGACGGTGAGATTTTTCAAGTTTCTTTTGATGGGTATCTGTTTTTTTCTGTCAGAAGACGGTCAAAAATGGAGGATGGATCAACAATGATAATTTGGAAGACTGTCAGAATTTAATATCTCGGGACTGGCCCCTGAAGTGGGCCTTTTTACCCCCATAGTTGGCCCATTTTAAAAAATGACATTGAAACTTAGATCAATTTGTGATTCAGAGCAGTCCTTTGCCAGCCAAAAAGATGGTTCTTTTTGAACTACATGTATGAGAACCCCTGTTTATAGGTCAGGCATTTTCATCATTTTCATTGAACAATTTAATGGCTAACAATTGTTTTAGTCCAGAATCCCAGAGGGTTGAGCATGCCCAGAAAGATCACCAACAAATCACTGCAGGCATGGGAGATTTGGAGGGTGGTGTGCAAGAACCAGCATTTTGGCCAGAAAATGTCTGCTCTACAGTAGATCACACTTTGAACTAGATTACATATTGCTTCTCAAGTTGAGTCAATTAACTAAGGTTGGTAAAATGGTCCAAACTTTCAGAAATTAAGACTGAAAAATCGCTTCCATTGAAAGTGCTCGATACATACAGGCATGCTATCAGCAGTAGGGCACATACATGTAGCAGAGTCACAGTTTCCTTAACTCAATATTGGACCTTTAAAAAGTTGAGCTCTTGCAACAAACTTATCAGTTTCACCAAATTATGGAGCAATTTCAGTGGATGCTTGTTGTATATGTTTTAGATTCATTTCGCCCTCACACTGATAAAGTCAACTGATTCATTCTATATCCCAACTTCTCAAATATCACAAATAATGCAATTACATTACCTGTGTTGAAGGGAGATATCATTTTGGAATTCTTTGCTCAGCTAGAAAATTTTACGAATTCCAGACTTCATATGAGTGTGTTTTAATGTACATAAATTTGTAAAGAGCACAGTAAATATTTCATAAGCATTTCAAGCTGCCATGGCATTTCTGTGAGTTCCTGTGTCCTAATCAAATTATGGCACCACAGCTACAAATAACATCTTTATTGTCACAATAATATTTCCATGTTTTTAATCTTAATAAGAGAATATGGAAATGCAAGAACTACCTGTGATGCTGCTTCGTGTGCTGTTTGTCAAAAATTGCACTTAATTTTTAGGTGTTTTTATCCAGGATTTTTATCAAATTATGAAATTTTTTCACCCTATTATTTTATCATGATAGCTGGAGTGAAAAACTTTTTTGCAGTATATTGCTGTGATTAAAATGCTGTTTTAATAGCTTATAAAGATTAAGAAAGGGCAATATCACTTTAAGATTATTCATGGGTGTGGGCAAGTATGAATGTTCAATAATGCAAATTTGCACACTGATGTGAACATTCATGAAAACGCCTCAGTTTGCATTAGCCTGAAGAGCTCACCCATTCTAGATCTTCAAAAATAAGAAAAAGAAATACATAAAATTATTTGTAAAATACCTGCTTTCATTACTGAAATAACTTTTGGAATTTAGATGAGAGGGAAGAAAGTCAGCCTTAACAAAAGCCCATAAACATGGGTTATAGATTGTTAGACATGAGAAAATGTTGGCTCAGAAACAGACCCCTGAAGTGTCGATCGTCATTCATCCCAGGACTTACGTGCACATGCCATTCTGGGCATCACCCACTTGCCGTCTCCAAGGCACATGGCTCTGGGGTAGCCATCTTGGAAATAGCCCTTGTGACAGCGATACACCACCTGGCTGCCTGGTGGGAATCTCCGCTCCCGTTTTGGCAGAGATGACTGTGGCTCTCCATTGACAATAGGGGGAGGAGGACCACAGAAACCTGAAATAGCATAATGAAATTTTTGCTGTTTTGGACAATTATTAATTTTTATCCTTTTGTTTGTATTTTGCTGAAATTTGGGTTGCTGATAACTTGAGTACTCACTGTACAGTTATGTTGTCCAGTATGTTATTCTAGAAGAAAAGAATTTGAATTAAATATAAAATGAGGAGAATTTAGCAACCCTGCTAAATGTGATCTATTGTTACTGTAACCTTTTTTTCAATAACAATATTATTTAGCAGTAACTATCAAGCACAGTCAAGTCAAAAGCTAGTCATTTAGAACGCCCTCTAAACCCTTAGTACATTAAATACAATAAAAAATTCCTCAAAAAGAGGAAAAATAAGAAAACATTCTTAAAAATGAGAAAAAAAATGTGAAACTAAAAAATAAGTACAGCATAGTTACATAGATACAAATTTAGCATAAATTAAAATTCAAATTGATATTAATTGAAATGTACATAATATCTGGTTGATTGGTTACGCAATGCCTGAAAATATCGTTCACAACTCAATAAGAAAACACACATCACTATAATTCTATATTTTACCATCTTTGGAGCAGTATGGTTCCTCTCCACTCCACTGCTTGTCTCCACCGCATATCCTCTCTGGTGGACCGTTCAACACGTATCCCTCCGCGCAGCCGTAACGTGCACGCGCGTCAAACTTGTTGTATGGAATGATTTGTACATAGCCATGGGAAGGAGGCTTTATGTGTGAGCATCTAGCATCTGGAAGTAAAAAATTTTAAAACTCCTTGAAATTTTCTTTGAACAAAAATGCATTGTTACAGAGTGAGTGGATTTTTCTTACATATATAGCCGTTATCGATAGGGAATTTGAGATGTGAGCACTTTAAGAAAAATGCTAATTAAATTACAACAAATATTTGTTTGAATACTCTCAGGAATTATTGAATTTTTTGGAATGGAATCTTTTTTTTTTCTTTTGCTGAAAGAAAGGGGAATTGAAGGAGGAATTCAGTCATGAGCATTTTGCTTCTGAATAATAAATGTCAAAATTAAGATTTGACTTTGAAGAGTACAGAAGCAGGTGGCTCTCTTGGTTACAACTGAGACTACATCATTGAGAAAGTCAATGTGACTAAAATTAAANTCAAAAAAAGAGTACATGATGATTTTCCGATAAAAATTCAACTAATTATTATATGCAATCAATATCTTAATTATATTATTCCTAAGCTGTCCTATTTTATGATTTGCAGGAAGTTGTCCAGAAGGGTTCCACGCAAATCCCAGTAATTGTGCAGGGTATATATGGTGTACTCAGACGGCCATTTTGTATAAATGTTGCCCGTATGGAACTGCCTGGAATGATACAACTTCATCTTGTGTGCACAAACCTCCTGAGTGTACAGATGTCTGTGCTGCGCCTATTTCTAACATTACTACTACTACTACAACTGTCGCACCAACAACTACAGGAGAGAGTGGAGGTTAATTATTTTTCTTTTTGTTAATCCTGATGTTAAGGGGCAGCTAGTCCCAATGGCTGTATACAGAAAGACTTCGTTTCTATCCTTCTTGATTTCTGTAGCAAAATTACCTATCTATCCAACTTATCTCATGAACACAGAAGCATGTTGGGAATAGATCAAGTTGTTTGAAATAAGCAATTTTTTAAAAACTATTTAGGAAACAACTAACACAAACCAAAGTATATATGGCAGAATGCATATTCATACTTGTCAAATAGTGCAATTTGAATGTGAGAGGCTGATCTTGTCCATCGTGCTTTACCAATTTCTTCTTTTTTTTCAGTTATCTGTACTTATGGACCCTATAAGAAAGAGGTGATAGATAGCACAAGCTATTATTTGCTGTGGTACGGAGGGGTAAAGATCTATATGTCATGTGGAAACCAAGTTTTCGATGTTTCAATCTGTGATTGTGCCAAGTCCAGTGACCTGTGTGAAGGTACGTATACTGTAGTGCATATACATTTCTCTCTTTTTAATGCCCTTATTTAATACACTAGCTATCTACCTGCTATGTAACTGTTGTTTATTTACAGCTATAAATTATTATATAATTATCTGTTTTTCAGTCTTTTGTAAAGTGCCAGTGTTTTATGGATATTTCTGAAAATATGACATTAAAAAAGGTTAAAATCAACCACACTTTAATTTATATATTAGCAACCTCTTCTCTCCTCCTCTTCTTTAAGATTTTTGCATGGATATGTCTTCCTTCATCAAAACACCCTGTGTTTAAGAGAATAATAGAAACTCTGCTACATCAGATACTGCCAATGGCAGATACATAGATGATACTAGTAAAGAGGTAAATTTTCAGTATCCTTAGAAACCCAGGGTTTTAAAAATGTAAAGAATGAAAAGGGGTCCATCTGATATATTGCTTATAATTTTCGGTTTTTCGTTTTACAGGTGAATACGCCATTGCCTGTTTTCCATTTGACAGCCATTACCATGACTCCACGGGGAATATATGGTGGACGAAAACTACAAACATGCAACTCGTTTCTGTCGCAAAACACGGAATGTCTGCCTATTTCAATGGCAACTCGTCCTTTATGGAGATCCCATTCTTTCAAAATTACCAGTTCCCATTGACGTTTACATGCAGTTTTTGGTACATGTCTGTCAGTGGTATGGATAGCGACAGAAAGGGGCTAGTTAACAATGGCGACTGTGAGCATGAACCAATGTTCACAGTGAGGCTCAGCAATGGTGTAACTGGAACGCTCAGCGGAGGAGTTTACACAGTGAATGAGCATAACCTCACCAATGCATATGCGAATATACCAGTGCGTAACACCCCCCCCCAAAAAAAAAATATATATATATATATTTTATAAATTTTATTTTTATTATTATTATGTTATAAATAACATAATAATAATTATAATGAAAAAAAAAATATATATATATATATATACCCATCATAACTGATAGAATGTTATTTCCAGTAGGTTAGATTAATATGTTTAGAATTGTAATTGGATACAATAATCATCATAAATTGTAAAGCCCTATGTGAGTACCTTGATATAACTCTTTCTATTTGGCAATTTAATCATGTGTTCTTTTATTGTGACAGAAGTGTATGTGTGTGTGTGTTTGAGAGAGAGAGAGAGAGAGAGAGAGAGACTATTTCAATATAAAGTCGATAAGAAATACCAAACCAAAATTTAATCCACACTATAATACTATACACCTTTAATTAATTCGTTGATGTAAATATGAACATTTAGGCCATGTTGGAGGTGTGGCATCATGTTGTTATGATGTGGGATGGGACAGTGGTCACATTCTACCTTGATGGAAGCCTTGTCAGCGCCACCAATGTTAACATCGGAAGTGGTATGTTTTCTGTTGTATTGAAATTCTAATATTTTGTATTGATTGTGAAGTGAGATTTAAAAGAAGCTCTTGAGAAGCATATACAGCCGGAATTAACAATTTACGTAAGATCTACATTTACATTTAGTTGTGGATTTCTCATAGTTTTCATTCTTTTGTTTTGTTTTACTGTGAATTTTAAATTTTCATTTTGTTTTTTTAAACATTAATCAACAAAGTGATATTATCATAGATTATATGTTCAAGAAATAATGATGTTCATTAGCTTGCGATGTTCAGAGTTTTTTCTTCTTCAGCGAGAACAGCACATGTATATTATATAGTTTGTTTCAAATACAAAGAAAAAATAGCTTAAGGAAAAAAAACAAAATTGCAACATGTCATCGTTAATATGCTTTGTATAGATATCCAAACCCTCACGCCCAACTTATGTTTTAACATGGAGTGAAACTTTTTCATCTTCCTTACAAACTTCCTTGACCGTGCTATGCACTCACCGAGATAATAAATTACTGAGGCAGTGCACCGAAAAACTAAAAAAAAAAATGTAAGTCTTACGTAAGCAAACTATCCCCCCTGACTCCACTAAATCAAGGCTAATTGTCAAGATATGGAAACGGCCGGAAATGATGATGATGAAATACCTTGCCTGGCTATCTGGAGTATATCGTAGTGTACTTGTCGGAGTACCAAAGATATGATTTTCATTCCCCTTATTTTTTGCAATTAATTCATTCAGAGTTTTAGATCTAAAATCTGTTTAAAACTTCAGTCATTATTTTGGATTTGTTTAAGATTTTAAAAAACATAATTAAGCGAGAAGGCATCTCTCTTCTTGTTAACGTACATGTACTTTTGTGAATCAGATTTTAAAAATATCCCTGTGATACGGGGAACTGTGACCGTTGATCAAATAGACACATGATAATGAAATAAAATTAAATAATAACCCATGGAATCCTCCACCGTCTCCCCCAACGCACACACACACACACACACACACACACACACACACACACACAAAACACACATTTTAAGTCCTCGATGTATTTCTTTTTCAAGGTTTAATTAAGAGGTCTCCCGTGTCACTTATCCTCGGCCGCAGCGTGTACTGCGACTACCAGTTTGATGATAACACATTTCTACACGGATACATAGATGAGGTAAGACTTGGGCGCTTTCAGCTTAAAATTATAGATTAAATACGTCTCTTTATGTTTAAGAAATATCGGGTCATTGTGTTACGGCAGTCAGCAATAAGTTTAATTTGTTGGTTTATACCAGGAGAACCCATAATACGTTTGCCACTAGCCTCATTTGCGAATATATTTTTTCATCTAAAAAAAGTTATATTTAAAAAAGTCAGCTATGACGTGAAGGGATTCTGGGCGAGCATGGGAGTAGGGAGTACCTTGTGTAGATTAATATTAGATAACTGTTCTAGTTGGCCCGGCCAAAAGTAGGTTTAGAAAGTGACTTATGACATGCATTTCGCCGAAAAAGGGGGCTTGCTCTAGCACGTGATGCTGAAGTAGTACTATTCTTAAACAAATGTGTGTTGATTTGAAAACTAAGTACACACACGTAGTTTGTGTCCAGTTCTATTCAGTAAGGACAAGCCTCGTGGGTATGGGGTTAAAAAGTCGAAAGACTGTGGAATGTAAAGAAGATTTTATCTGATAAAAGATGTCTTAGTAAATAATTATGTCCAACTTTGTTGTATAGTATATATCAACGTAGGCAGACTAATCATAGGTATTGAGAAACCCTTCAGGGTCATTACGACACAAGGGGGCGTGGCACGCCAGCATAAGGCGTTGGCTTGATTTATTTCGAAGCATAAAAGTCGTTAGAGTGCATTTCCATGCTCTTGTTTTAACATTCACATTGAGCGAATTGATGTTTTTTTTTCATTTCAGCTTAAGATGTTCCGGAAAACTTTGACTATAACAGAGATCCAGTATCTCTACCACGAGTACGACTGAATAGCTCAAAAAGCGGCATGGCAGATCTCGTCCTATTCATGGACTTTTATGAAACATATTATGAAAAACTGCCTTATAGAACGGGGGATAGGGCACTTTGATTAAATTTTAATGTCACAGACAACATGACATGATTTCAAATATATCTCATTTTGTAATGATTGGCTACTTGAAGGTGTATGTGTATTAATTAAAGGCTTTATATTAATAATATATAACCAGCCAGAGACTTATGGAAGTTTTATGAACGTCAAGAGTGTTCACAATAACTATTGTGAGAATGAATTCATGAATGAACCTTTACGTCAGAAACTGTTTTACGATGCGAAAACAAAGTAAACTTTAGTTACTATTGTTATGACTCATAAAGTTATTTTATTCAGTTCATTTACTACTTAATAAATAATATTGTTGTATGGTTAACTGTTTTACTGTGTCTTTCTTCGCGAGTAGCCTGATATTTGCAAAAACGGTCTCAAGATATAGATCGAATGAAATTTGGCCATTTTAGGCCGTTTAAATCCTCGCTCGATAATAAACATGGTAATCCGAATGATTAAGAGGCGTGTCATAACTAAAATATCTAATAATACAGTACAGTAAATGTGTTGCGTTTCATAATGTCATCAATGTTCACGGGTCTGCTTAATAATGTTTCGTTTCATTTATATTACGACGTTTAAATTGCGAAAATTAAATGTGCCTTATTTGAATTTTCCAAGAAATTAATGTTGATGTTCGTCTTGGTAGTTGGAAAACGATTTGCATTTTATATATTATTTCAGTCACGCTGGTCATCTAATACTGTTACCATTTTCATTCTCTTGCCCCCCCTCCCCCTCCCTCCCCAACAAGTCAGTATACGACAGAAGTATTTTCATAAACGTTTCTCAAACTTCATATAATTCATTATCTTTTTTACCCTGTAATTATCTTTTTTTTAAGTGAAAGCCTCGCAAAAAATATCCTGTTCCGTTTAAGGCATTCGTATGCCCATGCGCCTTGGATTTAAAGGCGGGTGTTATGTATTGTTTAATTCGCTGAGAAATAAAAGATCACAAGTAGCTCACGGTTAATAAGTAGCTCACGGTTAATATCAATGTCATCGAAATGTGTTAGCGAAAAATCCTTATAGTGGCGATGTTCAACGTAATTAGTTCAATCATAAGTGACACCGCAAATCTGCTGATTTTCTGTCGGGTCGCGAGCACGGTGCAAATAGGCCGTAAGCCATACATATTTCTCTGTCTCAAACACACACCTCAATAAATCTTTCGAAGGGGTCTTTTGTTGCGTTGGTCATCGATTTCCTTCTGTTGACCACTCGGCCGTGAGGGTGAGATCATATCTATACTTACTGGCCAAAACTGCAGTTCGAGTTTATCGTCCAGTTCGCTGCCACGCGGTGTCCTACGCTGTCGGAATATCTTCCCAGCCTCGACCTGTGCAAGAAGAAGATGACGGGCCAACACATTGGACTAGTGGCGTTTCTTTGTATCTCCGTCTTTTCACAGGTTTGATATATTTGTCATATTTAGTTCTCATTTATCTTTTTATCATTGTTGTTGTTTCTCTTGTGTTTTACTGATAACGTATTCCATGTTACCACGACACTTTCATATGTATAAACAGGACGAGTAGCGGTCCTTGCAAGTGTTATAAATGTAGTACACCGAACGTCCCATTATTTTTCGTGTTTAAAAAATATATATGTAATTGTGTCATGTTTAAAGAAAATAAACTGCATAAAAAATTTGTAAAGGAGAGAAGTTACCAACACTGCGCAGGCAGTTTGGGGAGTAATTTATCTTCACCTGAAAAAAAAACCCTACCAGCCAATAAAACAGATGAAGTTAGAATTGGGCCTGCAACTTTTTGAAAATTTTCTCTGCCTGCATTTCACATCCAGTCTAAGCGCGTTCCTCATTTCACTTTGGCCACTTGATTACAGTTTTCACTGTTAAGGTGATCGAGGCACTGATATTAAAAATAAAATTACTAGCAATACTAACAAATATGTATAGTTCATGCATGTAACTATTCACAGAAACATGACTAATTCTTAGAATAGTTGGATTTCCAATCTGTAAATATTTGTACGTAGGCCCACTGTATGATGATGTTCAGTTCGAGCATCTTGTTTCTTTATCCCACAAAACTGAGGCAAATTTTTCACCGGAAAGAGGTTTTCCTTACTCGTAAAGAAAAACAACCCACGAAATTAATTTTTTTCACGCATATTACATACGTGAGGCCTGCCATCATATTTTCTGTAAAACTCCTGTCTTTAAATTACAACCTACAGCAGGCAAGCTTGACATAGAGGTAGTATACCCAATATGAATGGGGTGGCTAGGCAGCAATAATTATTAATTTTACGAATTTTGATAAATTTCAGACTTCCATGTCACTTCCGGATTATCTGTGTGCAATGAGTGACACAGAAATGGATTCGTCAGTAGATGGCGTTGCAAAGGTAGTATTTCCATTTCTCTAAAACCCATTTCATTAATTCTTTTTTTTAAAATTGATAAACAAGATCACATCTCAACTCAATTATTTGCATAACCATAGTCTTATTTCATAACCCAAGCTTATCGCATAAAACTAAGATGCTATAAAACAGCAAATATATATTCAAACGTCTGAATGTTAACGTACTTTATTTTCTTTATTTCTATTTAGTAACGGCCCATATTCTTCAGTGTTGAGTGGCATTATATAGACGTTTTGTCGTAATGCGATCTATAAACAGACCCATTTCATTATTTCTTTAACGTTAATTTCAATTCTGGTGAAGTTTAAGGACACCGTTTTCGAATTCGTTGTGTTTTCTGCAGGATTTATCTGCCTACCATTGGGTGGCAATGACGCCATGTCGATTAAGACAGCATGATTTACTGGTTGTTTTATTTAAAGTATTCACGAGCATCTTCTATTATCAGTTCAATTTATATTTCATCTTAGCAAAATTTGTTCATGTCCCACATGAAAGAAACATTGAAGAATGCCAGAGGGCGTTTCGGGCGACAGAAAAGACAAATTATTAGTGGGTCTACAAGGAAATGGGATGCCACGAAGCCAATTTACTATGTGCTTCGAGATGCGGATCAAATTCGTAAGTTATAATTTATGAATAAAAATAGATTGAACTCGGAGTATTTTATTACATTAAATACGCCAAGTTTTATTTTAAAATAATATTCATTGAATGTAAGAAAGAAACGGTCACCATTACAGATGGACAAATAACGTTCTTTAGATTCTATAAAATTATTTTAGTTAAACTTGGTCTTTTCTGAAGATATTCTGGACAAATTGGTGGTCATTTTCTTTTTTCGTTTCATGTTTCTGGTCAAATATGGGTATACGAAATATTTAAATATGAATGTTTTAATGGGCTGCCCTTTATGTCCTGTATGTGTTTGTAAATAATAAATTCTACGGCTACATAGTTTCCATATCATTTTCCTTGAAATTGTCACTGCAAGGTTATGTTGGAATCTGGCTACTTACCTTACCCCGGTACACACTCATAAATAACTGAAGAGTCCGCGTTTTGTAAACCATGTAGGGATAATGATTTGTCATATACCTAAATTTTATTTTTAGCACCGTCCAAACTTGCTATGATACGTTTGGCATTGGATCTATGGGAACAGGGCACTTGTCTTCGGTTCGAAGAAAACCTCAACGCAACTGGAGACTTCCTCGAAATCTACGGATATCAGTAAGAAGTTCCGTTACTAGTGCATCTTACATTATATCAAATTGATCTCTTTTCAGAAGATTTTCCTCGAAAAAGCTTTAGTATTTTTCACACATTTTTTAAGTTTGTATTTTAACCGGCAAATCCGCAACTATTAACCTTTTTTCTTCAAGCAAAAGTAACATTATTCCTCTTGACCTTTATTTACACCATTTCCCCATGGTAAATAAATTGATAAACTTATTTTAGAGATCTGTGCGGGTCATTGATTGGACGGATCACCGATGGATCTCCTCAACCCATTTTCTTAGATTGCCCCTTGGTGAGTTCGTTTTTTTTTTATGGCCATCCATTTATTGTGTGCCGCATTAAAATGCATCCAGAAAAACAGTCATATATGTAAAATTATATCATTCGTGTGTACATTACGTTTAGGAAACCCTTATATGCTTAAAAAATGAAGATTTACATGTAAAATTATCCAACCGATAAACTATTGATTGCAGGGATGACAACTCTTCACTTTTGCGGGGAAAGTGTCATGAAACGGATTTTTCTAGGGTAGACGATGATTTTCCCATACTGAAGAGTTGTTATTCCGTTGAGTTTCAATGTAATATTGAATGTCTAGATTATTTGTAACGTTAACTTTATCAACGCCATTATGACTTTTCTCTTCGGGCACTTTACAGCCCGGTTACATGTCTCAAGTCATCGGGCTTGCTCTAGGATTCTACCCACTCAATAACAGAGAGGACAGGGACGAATATATTCAACTCCTACCACACAATGCTGACCCGCAGCTAGTGGATGAGCTCCTTTTGGATAAAGTGGGCGGGGAGGTGGCAGTGACGTATGGTGTCCCCTATGACATTGGGTCTATATTGTCAGCGACATCTTTGGTATGTGTTCTCATCTCTGCGACAGCATTTAGTCAGTTCTTAGAAAGCTGCTTTTTAAAATCAAAGTTATCCGTGTTAACGACCTGTGGCTACTATTAAACGGCTATTCTGGCTCACTGATCAGAAGTCTCCTCTGGTTTTGGCACAGGCATGCTCAATTAAAATATCTTCGTTAAAAAATCTGGTCTATAGGCCTTTGCGTTTCGAAATAAATGCGACCTGAGAGGTAAATAACCGTAGATAATACTGATTTGACGTGGGGACGAAGTGCATCTCAATTTTTGCCCTAACGATTCAAAATAAGGGCACGTGGGTTGAAAAGTCACCCACAATAAAGGGGGAGGGGCATTTGTCTCATTGTGTTATATGATGCCTTATGGCAAATTGTCACTGTATAGTGTATTCATCAGCGTATTCTATATATGAGTAAACTTTGTCAAACAGAGCTTTTAGAAACAATAATTTCTAATTTCCACACATGATTTGAAAGCTATTTTACCTGTTGTAAAAATGTTGAAAAGCTTTTATTATGACTTCAGTTGTTCCACAGAATAAATAACATCAGAATATTAACAAAGTTTACTTCAAATTTTAGTTTCTATCAACTAACGACAAGCCCACGATTCTAACTAGAAACCCGCTACTTCAAGGAGCCATGGGGAGCGCCCTCTTCACTGGTCCGACCTGGTACGACCGGAGGCAGGCCAATATAGAGTTCTGCAGCAGTGAGTTCTTTTTTTATCTAATTTTTATAGAAAATATAATATCTTTCAAGTGTGTTTTTTATTATTCTTATTATTTCATTTAGATGGTCTTGTAAAAGCCAAGCATAAACAAAACCTTGAAATTTTTCAAAGCGTTTAAACTGATGCTCAAGACGCAAAAGAATCTCTTACCCATACTCTAATAACTTTGGTATATGTTGTTGATGATGGCAATACGTTCGAAATGCTTATCGATTCTCTTAACACATTATCTGAATATAAATTGTAAGGAAAAATGTGTGAGTAACTTTCAATAGTCTCATCACCGTCTTTGAATACCAAACATAAGACAGTCCAGTTTTTAGAACCAAAAGCGCGATGTAGTAGGTGCTCCAATTGTGTTTTATCACACCCAGGAGCGATTTGAAAATTGGCATGTCTTTTTCTCAACTACCGCGTCCCCTCTAAAATGCCGACTTCTAGCTAATAGTGTCCACTTGCAAAATATTGGATCTTGGCCAAACGCACTGTAAAAGAATGTGCACTCAGTAAACTTGCTAAGAACATAGCTATATAACGAAAAACAATGTAAAAGGCTAGTGCTGTACTGTGCACGTGCCTAAGTAACCGTGTAAGTCTTTGACCCCATTCCCACAGATTTTAGATCGTTTTATCCCTGTGGGGAGTCTCACTAGATTATTGTCAGCTTAGCTGGCTTAAGCGTCTGTCCCGCCTACTAAAAGCCGTAAGGGGGTAATTACCTGTCGTGCGCGCTCGGCTGACTGCAATTTAGCGTGAACCCCCAGAGAGTTTGGTCGATCCGGATGGATCGATCTAAATCTCTGGGAATGCACTCTTTATCTGTATTTGGATATTTATCGTGAAATATCGCAATTTCAAGATCAAATTCAGAATCTACAGAATCAGAAAATTAAGTTTTTAAAGAAAATAACTCGGCCTGTCTTCGTATGTTGTAGCTGCCTGCGATCTCTTCCGAGATTTCATCATCTTTCCCAACCCCGAGTTGCCATGCCAACGCGGTGGCTATGCCGACCCCACCGACTGCATGCGCTGTGTCTGTCCTGATGGCTTTACTGGCACTTTGTGTAACAGCATAAAGACGGACGGTAGGCATATGTACTGGTAGATCTGTGTTTTTATAACACAGTAGAACGTTCACAGACCTTTATTACATATTAATATACATGTAATATAATATTTAGTAGTTATATAATAGCAGCCTTGCCCAGAATAAACCTCTCTTTGCCTGTAGCTGCTACTTTTACTTCTGCTACCGCTGCAGAAAAAACGTGATTATTGATTTGTGTTTTCACGTTAGAATAATTTAAAATTTTGTATTTGGGAGCATACTGCTGCATATGGATTTTTTTTTTAATTTCAAACTACTGCATTCACTCATCCTTTGTAAGTTGTAAAATTCCATTACTCTTATGTTAATCTTATGTTAATTAATGTCATATCTCTGTAGGAATATGTGGAGGCGAAGTGACGACACCGGGTTTAATAGAATCCCCTGGATACGGTGGGGAAGGGTTTTCCAGGGGAAACGGTTGCACTTGGTTACTGAAGGTGGGAACTTACCCTTATATTTTTAATATATTAAAAATGTCTGCTTTTAATCAATTTGTATAATGAAATGAATATTGATTTTTATTTAAGTATACATGTTTTATATTTGTAACTGGAAATATGTTTGTTTTACGCCAGTATTTTTTAATGTATGCCTTCTGTTGCATCTATATTCAGGCACCTGAAGGGAAAGTTGTGAAACTTAGATTTGAAGGTTCCTTTGGTTTAGGATGCCTAAACACAAGCAAAACCTGCTACGAATGGGTTGAAGTTCGCCATTCAGAAAATCTCCAAAACACTGGACCTAGGTAAAAAAAACTGTATTGCTTGCCATCAAGGGCAACGATGCTTCTGGGGATAATTAAATTAAAGAACTGAAGTGGAAGAAATGTGTCGTTCATTGACTCTCTACAAGTGCATACGCTTTTATCTGCTTCCTGAAAAAATCTGCCCCACTTGCCTGTCCCGGTGTGATAGAAATGGTAGTCCGCTAGAAACCGTAGTCCGTTCCCCATTACTTTGTAAAGGGGATATTTGTCCCATATACTTATTTCAATACCCCGAATAACCCTAACATGTACTAATCATATGGAACCCCGAACTTAACTTCCATTCCTCTGACTACCATTCCTAGCTGTCACACCGGCCTCCCATTGCCTAGCAAATACTACTCTGTTTATCATTTTCTCTAGTAAACCTTCACCAAATAAAAACATCTCAGTCGCCTCTCTAAGTAAAATTGTGATATTCCCAAATCCTGTTACAAGGAGGCTAAATTACTTTCTTATAACCATCATTTTTTCATCACCGTCTAGACTTTGCTGCTATAAAACCCCAGAAGTTGTCCTGACATCAGACACGAACGAAATGCTGGTGTTGTTGAATAGAGACCCTCTGGTGCCCGAAGACAGTGTAGGACTCCCTTCGGGAAGAACCGGATTTAGAGCAGTGTTCGAATTCGTAGATAAAGAAGGTTCGTTATCGCGTGTGAAGTGCTTTCTCACCACAAGAGTATTTCTACAAGTCAATAAATGAATGGACTATCTTAGATTTGACAGTTTCTTTCGCTCTATAATTTTGTGAAATATGATGACAATAATAATTTGCTGAGAGACGCAACAGAAACCCATTTGCAGGACATTCACCTTTCCTAACAGCCGATTCGAATCTCTTTGTAATCAACGTTAAATAATAAACACAGCGACCCTGTTCTAATAAATTGGATTAACTTAAATTTGCAAATGCGATTGTTTATTAATTGGTTTCATGTTTCGGTTATCTCGGTATCTTTTTCTACTTTCAGCCGTTGGTTACAGCGACTGGGGAGAGTGGAGCGACTGTGGCGCCCCTTGCGGCTCTTGTGGCACGCGCTCGCGCACTAGGACGTGTACAAGTGGAATTTGTCCGTACGTTATAATCAGGCAATCAGAGTAAACCTCAATAACATATAATAGTTTTCTTTATCTTTTGGGCTACACACTGTAACGTAAAAAATACGTGTATAAAGTATTGAAATACTAGATATTAGCACAGGAAATTCTAAAAAAAAATCGTTCACAGACGTACGTCTTTCTTTAAAAATAAAAATTCGGAATTCGTATGAAAATTGTCAGCTCTAAATTGCGGAAGAGAAAAAGCTAATGGTGGGTTTAGCCCCAAGTGGAAAGTTAACTTTCATATCGCTATAAAGATATTACGGAAGAGAACGGACTACGGCGCAAGATATAACTTGTCCTTGGTGATTTCCTCGCACTAGGGATGAGAAGGCACAAAAAAGCACATTAGTCTCTTACAGACAAACATGACCACAGGAATTAGTGATTTGCGTCGAACAGCCCAGGGCAGGCAATAAGGGGAAGTTAATCTAGTGTCCACTTGATTGCTGAGGGCCAAAGCGCCTTACAGTCTTAAACAATTACAGTAATGTGGGATGAAAGACGACTGAATATCAATCAAGAAGGGCATGTAATTGTCGTTAGCAGTAAAAAGTACAAAAAGGTATATTTTTCTTGAAAGCCGTGCTGTAGTTAAAAGTATAGGAAGACAGACCTCCATGAACCTGATGAATATTTTCTTTTGATTTTTTAGCAAAAAAAAAAAAGAAAAGAAAAAAGAAAAGAAAATCAGTATTTTTAACTCTCTCTCTCCATCGCATTTTTCCATATTATTTACCAGTTATGAATGATCTTAATTTGATCTTACAGCGGACCGATTAGTGAGACACAGACTTGTAATACATTTATATGTTCAGACCAGGACGCAGACTTTCGCTGCGGGTGTGACGCCCTTCCGCTTTTCACCCAGCGGCTGGCCTGCAAGAGGTACGTTAAATTAAGATTGTTCCCATGTTTATTCCGTGCAGTTCACAGAAAATGTGCCACGTTCTTTTAAAGTTAACGTCAGGTTTCCGATTTTGCATGCCAATAATAGTTTGTACTGTTTTTCTCGAAACTGAGTGCGTCGGACTCCCCCCACCCCCAGCAGTCTTTAGAGTCGCCTTGCTCAACAATTAACGAGTGACCAAGACTGCACAATGAAGTACCATGGTCGTTAAATCACTATTCCGAAGATGCATCGATCTCTCTCATTTGATTTAAAAGAGATGGAACTTCATGGGTGTTGTGTTTTCCTTTTCCCATGTCAAAAACTACTGCTTATCTATAACGTAAAATGAACAATTTTAAAATCTGTCTGTTGTTAAATGTGTGAATATGATCGACTGTAAAACGACGAAAAGTAACTAGCGGGAGCTCGACTTATGCATTGCATGCTACCGTACTTCTCCACGTACCAGTATTGAACAACTGGAGACCAAACATTCACCACCGTTTACCTTTTCTTCAGCCGCTGCCGAGACCGCTCCCCCGACGACATGTGCTGCCAGGGCTACACGAGCCAGGGACTCCGCTGTGTGAGTGTGGAGGAAATGACGGGCTACACCCCCAGCCCACCGAATACCCCCAGGCCCACGCAGCAACCAGTCGTGTTGCCGCGCCTGACCCAGCCTCCACACGCTTACCGCCCCCCGGCACCGGGATCCCCGGGGGTGTATTACCCTGGGAGACAACAGAACCCGTGGGGTGGTACATTTGGGTGAATAACGCTGCGCGGTACAGTGTCACTGACTTAGAAGGGGATGCTGCTATTGAATTGCCTGCTGATTTTTCTGGAAATATATTTTAAAGTGCAGGTCCCTGATGTTGATTGTTCTTGGTTCTTAGAGTTACTATTGGCCGTAAAGGTTAAGAAAAGTGGTATCATTATGAGAAATGAAATGTTCATACTGATTGACTCTGAAAATAGTTCGGTATCTACAATACCTGATACGAATATATCTACAATACATGGTACGCATCCTTTGGACCACTCGAAAAATGATGAAATTTTTTTCTTTAATCAGGTGAAGGCTACTAATCTTAAGTATTTATTTTTTTAGTTACCCAACAGTAATCGTTTGTACGGTACGCGTGAATGTGGAACTTAATAGAGATTACAAATATCTGTATTGTCATTAGTTATCAAAAAGTTTGTAAGGAAAAACAGCATGTGTTATATTCAATTTGTTTGGCATTGCAGTAGAATTATAATAAGAAGGCTTAACATGTGTGAAGAAAGTTATATGATTTCTGGTATTACAGTTCTACATGTATGCTCTAATATCCAAAATGAATAAAGAAACAGATTTTTTTATCTCAAAACCCTTAAACTTGAGTTGGGTGCTTTGCTTTTGTATAATAGTACAATACATCCAAAAGATCAAAAACATAACATTGCTTCTGATTTTTTTTAATGCGCTGTAGTACTGAGTATTACTCAAATGAGCAAGCGGATGTCATGAAAGGAATTTTTAGTACTGTTAGCATTAAAAAATCATTCGGTTGGTTCGTATCTTATTCATACCCTCACTTAAAATTACGTAAAATCTTCACATACTTTACACCTTTTCTTCTGTCGTATTCTCCACAAATAATAATCCTTTACCTTTAACGATTACCGATGCCCAACTTCTTTATGACCGCAAAAAATATTGTTCAAATTCTTTATAGCTTGAACATGATTATCGGTGCCAGCATTTTCTTACCTGGAAGCACCTTTCATTTATAACTTGTATAACGAGAAAAACAATTAGTGATGATGAATTCAATCTCTCACACACCTTTATCGTGTTAAGTTTATCTTTCAGCCACCGAGGAGTTGTCATTGGTTACCTGTAAAAGTACCTGCAACCGCTCAATCGCGTGGCAAAGAAAAATAAATTAAGTCTGAACTCCGACTTTTCGGCTTTTTTTTATACTTTTATGTTATAGATATTGAAATCATTGCAAGAAAGGCACTGGTGCTATGTTAGTCCGTTCACTGAAAGGTAACTTGAAACTGTTGTACACCTGACACGCAGGCTTTTGCCCCGTGGCTGTAACAAAAAAAACTATTTGGCCATGCCAACACAATGCTTGAACTGACGTCCAAAGCAACGTTCACACCTAGATTCACAAGGTTTGATCTTAATGACGTCAGTAGTCTGATAAGTATTCAAGCACATGTAGTTGCAGCGTAACTTTAAACGTTCGTTGTTTAGTCTTAATTGGGATAACCGTCTCTGTAAATGAAGGGATACTGTGAAGGCATCACTTGATTACAATAAAACCAGTACGATTGGCGTTACTCAGATCGAATGGAGTCCGGACTTGAATAGTTTGGTGTGAACGAGGCACCCGTGCGGGGTGGTGCCAGGGTGAGCCAAGAAGGCGTGAAGGCCTATCTGCTAAACACGCTCTAATCTTCCCATCCATCCAATGTTCGCGTTCCTGATTATTGTATAATCCGCGATACGCATCTATTGAACGCAATTTGCCGTGGCTTTACCTTTATTTCCTTTAGCATTGGGGATGATATAAGAAGACCCCGCTCACTGTTGGTGTAACCGTGTAAGACGTCGTGGCTTAAGGGGAACAGGCTTTCAAAACTGATCAAAAACACCTGAGATCACCGACAGGGACTTTATCTGTAAAGTTTACTGCACGTAATGAAAGAAAACAGCGCATTCCGTTGGATAAATCTATACCCGTCACTATAGGTGAGTAAATTAAATTATCTTAAGATTAGTTCGGGACCATCATTACCATACCTAATAACACATAACGAGTTATAGTTTTAGTGATAATGTTAATCAATCATATTTATGCAATCGAATTAAGCTGTAGATATATCAATTGGATGGCAAAGAACTACATACGTGGGAAGTTTACCTGAACTAAATACGTGGGAAGTTACCGGCATTGTTCAATTATCATTTATTATATCTGTCTCAATTTAAAGGTTCCGAATCAATGACAATACAAAAAAAATGTATCACCACTAAAAATAAGACACAATATTCAAAAACACAATATTCGTTGGGGCACAATATCCAATATATATCAAATAAAGGAAATTGATTCGGCGACTTACTGGGCTCTCCCATTCGATTTTAGATTTAAAATCGCTTGATCTTTCCTTCCAAAGATAAGAACCGAGAGATAAGGCATAATTTGATATCACGAGGCGATATCGTCACTTTACACGGTGCTCTATGCTGAAAAATTAAAAGGACGGCACAAATCCTTTACTTAACCCATGCCTGGACGCTTTCCTCGCAGATGTAGCCAAGCATTAGGGCTCGCTCTTTCTTCAGCCCTTATCAGTCCTCGTACGATGACCGCCTTATAGGAAGGGGAAATACTGTCTTCCTTATTTTGCAATCTATAAAAATCAGCTGAAAGTGTTATTACTATTATTATCATGTTTTATATTGCAAATAGTTTAAAAGATTGCCTTATTCTGAAAGTGCAATTCTTTTAGTACAGACTTTTGTTTAATAAAGTAAAACAGTGAATTAGATGGCATATTTTAAACGTAAAAATACAAACAAGGAAGTAGATTGATCTAGATAGCTCTCACAGCGCGTCATTTGACGTCATATTCATTTACAGACACAGGGAAATAGGATCATGGGCAGCAAAATTGGTTTAAACTATTGGATCAAAAATTTGGTCTACTTTAGTTCCAGATAAACGAAACCACCCAGGATATTTGAAAAGGAGAATGGGTAATTTAAAACATACAAACTTCAGTAAATCCTATTAACGCTCATTCAAAAATGGTACTTAAGTAAAGTAATTGGGTTTTTTGTCGGTATAGCATTTCAGACAACATGACAGGCTATTAGTTTCTTTTCAAATTCATTTCCCCGCCTTAATTCATTTAATTTCAATCTTGTGATGCTGCGGTGAGTTTGTCTTTCTTCCTTTTTTTCAAAATAATACAAGATAAATCAAATTATTTTCCCTATCTAGTAGACACGCTACAGTCAGGCAATTATTTCCACGTAGACTTTGAAGATCTACTCTTGTACTCAGCCCACGGCTTCTACCCAAATGGAATTTAATTGGAGATCTATAGAACTATGAAGTCTAATAAGTATTTTGCATGCTGAAATCCTGCTAATTTGAGCTTAGGTTTGTGCGTCATTTCCGTCTTTTCTGATTTTCTTTTTTTATTTACTTTGTTTCTTCGCTTTTTATAGAAAAAGTTGACATCACCTTGTTATTAATTGAACAAACTTACAAGGACCAGGTACACAGACAGCTTATAGATAAAGAGCGCTCTTAGTGGAACCTACAACTGACTCCTATACTGTATCTGTACATATGTCTGTAGCATCCTTTAAATTGAGTTTTACTACGGTTAAATGGCATTAAACGCTATGAAAAGGTATAAATCGAGCTCTTCCAAGAGTTGCTTAAAACTTGTCAATAGTAGCGCATCCAGGCAGTAGATTGGGTAAAAACTGTTCACTTTTCTTGAGGCTTATCTTAGTAGAGCTCCAGTGGCAATATATTTTATACATCAGTCCAATGGCCAATACATGAGCATCTTGGTGAGAACTTTCTCATGAACTGAATCTGGACTTTAGTTTTTGTATCCATGCTAGCTGGAGAAAGTTTATGTGGTGGAATGTTCCGAACACACCCACTATTAGACCGACACTCGTCTGTTGAAAATGTTTACACGCTCGAGTGAAACGGAGTCGTGTATAGGTCAACCGCGTTTGTATGCTATCACTGGGTAAGTCAGTTTTTTTCTGGTTCATCAGCGTAGAGCAGCGAAATTGAAGCAGTATTTTACAACTGATAATGATATTGTGATGCCACAAAATCATTAGATGGTTTATTTCTTTTTCATCCAACTGTATTGAAGGTGACCCGGGTCGCAGTAACCACGACAAAGGGTTTTGCTATAGATGATGAAACGGTTCATAGGTACCAATTTCACAAATTAACATGAACCAAATTTAAATCGTAGATTAAGACCCAAAAACTTGCTTGACATGGTACTCTGGCCCGGTGTGACAGGAATGGTAGTCCTAGGGATGGAAGCCCGGGGTCCCATATGATTAGTACAGTTTAGGGTTAGTCGGAGTATCGGGGTATAATATGTCACCTGTACAAACGGTCTACTGTTCCTAGCGGACTACCATTCCTGCCACGCCGTATTAAGTGACAATACAGTAAGCCACCTCAATGATGTATACAGGACTTCATTTAAGAAAATTAATCAAATGGCCATTGTTGAACCAGACAGTTGTTACAATTGTTGGACAACCACTAGTTCATCTCGCATCAAAAATATTTGTTAAGACCATTTCCTTTTGTGAAACTGGCCCTTCGTCCTTCGTGTTAGAGGAAGAAGAAGAGGAAGCTGCCAAGTGTAGCTCTACGTCATTCCTTATCATAAACCACCGAAATAGACAACGTCAGTTCGATCAGGTTCTTAGATCTGTTGACAAGAGTGCGTGCAGTATGACAGATATTGGAGTACTTCCGTGGTAATATCACCCTCTAATGGGTTGGGCGCAAGTCATAGATACCTTATTATTCATTGCGCACGCATGGCGCTGTAGTTATTACTTAAAAGGAAAACTCCTCGGTGTGTTTGGAAACGATTGTTTCGCATTTAAATTGATGCATGCGTCCTAATGATGTACTTTCATTTACTTGTGTTTTTACAGTGTACATGGACTAAAGTACATTGTGAACGTACTAACCAAATACACGAATAATGCTGTACTCGTACCAAAAATATTGTGTTTTTGGCACCTTTTGTGTTATCCAAATATTTAATAACCGTAAGCAATTTTAACTTAAAAGTATTGACTAAAAGGATGAATTTTAGCATTTCTGTAAGTGTAATTTTAAAAAGTGTTTGTCAGTTGGGTAGACCAATCGAGAATTAAGATTTAAGACATGGAGAGAAAATGAGAAATGAGAAATATTTTTATGTCTCGCTAGTAAATACAGTATACACAACGTACGTCTTGGATAACTCGAGGGAAAAGTCAACAGTATAAGGTGAAATGAGTGCAATTCCATACAATGGCCCGCACATGTAATAAACAGAATTTTGGTAAACTTTCAGCTGAGCTGACCCAGACCATGTTAGGTCAAATTTCAACACGTTATTTGCAGATTAACGATGACTGCATGATAAGTAATAGCACGCTATCTTAAAGGCGATGGTCCCAATACAGCAAAAAGGAATGTCACACACAAATATAACAATGGAGACAAAACTTTCTACCGCAATATATATACACCTGTAGAAAATATTATCCGACTTATAACTTTGCTTTACCTTTTTACTAAAATAATACTAA